ACAATATGAGCCAGACAACCCTGACAAAGCCCCTTTGTGTGCAAAGGGCAAAGGTAGAGGAGATGGGAACAGAGGGCCTGGGTGTCCTGCAGTATAATCTAAGCTTCCACAAAGGAAAGGGAGAGGCAGGGCCAGCCCCAAGCTCACACAGGCTGCTGCCAGCTTCTCAGCTCAGAAGAGAGTTTGGGTACTGTCTGGGATAGAGAGATAAGGGAATTAGGCTGCTCTCTTCAGCTAAGTAGCTGCAATCAGTCACAGCTACAGGATTGATCCCAGAGGAACTGGGGTGACACAGTATGCAGAGTGCTGCAGCTGCCAGCACGTGTGCTGGGACCTCCAGTGCCACACTGGCATTTAGCATCTGACTGAGCCCAAAGAAGCAGGACTTGGTGACCCTGCTGCAAGAAACATGCCCCGTTTTTCACAGGCAGAACTTATAGGCACCACCCAACTCACTGAGCAGAGAATGGGAAGACTGTGTGTGTCCCTGCCCATCACTCCACCACTAGTCCTACAGGATCAGGGAAGTAGAAGTGGATATATAAAGGAGCCAAGCAAACTGAAAACAAAGTGCTTTGGGCAGGGAGCAGTTCTGTAGTCCTGTAGTGCAACCAGCATTTTCATCTGCAAATGCACCTGGCATTTGCTCCTCCACTGGGCACACACAATTGCACTTGATAGGAATAGCCAGAAAGCCTGCCCTGGCTCAGAGGAGATCTCCCAGCCCCAGCCACCCACCAGGTTCTTCGAGATGCTGCTACAGGGAGGCTTCAGAAAGGAGCAGGCTTCCATACTGCCACGCAGGGTAGGATTTCCTGGGGTGCATGTGGCTTTCCCTTCCTCGTGCACCCAAGGCTTGGGATCACGTTGTCCTTTCCCCCATCACACACTGTCATCCTGTATCAGTGCCGAGGGTGAGGAAGTCCTTGCTATCGGTTGCTGAGGGACATCATCGGCTGCTGCTTTTGAGGGGACTTTGTGCTCTCGGGGTGGGGTAGGAGGGGGGAAGGTGGGACTCTGCAAGGCATCCAAGTACATTTCGTGGACACTGGGACGCTGCGCAACCCTTTGCAGCAGTGGCTTAAGCAAGCCCACAGTCAGCTGGTTCCCCTCGCTGGAAAAAGGCACTGGGTCCTCCTGGGAGTGAGGGAGGTGCTGCAGGACCACGGTGAGGATGTCTGAGGCAGTGAGCTCAGTAGGGCACAGTGGCCACAGCCTGTCCAGATATGGGTCCAGCTCCCGGTGCTGGGCAAACTCAGCCAGCAGTGTGGTGAATATCTCCTTGTTAAGCAAGGGGCTGAGTTTGGAGAACTTCTCTGCCACCTCCACCACCCGCTGCCACCGCTTCAGACGGATAAGAAGGTGCAGAGCTTGCAGCACAGCCTTAGGCCTCTTGCTGCAGAGCAGCAGTTCCAACTCCATCTCATTGTCTCCCTCACTGTGTTTGTTCTTCCGAGCCAGTACTCCCAGTGCTCTCTTGTACAGCGGCACCCGACCCTCTGGGCCCTCCTTGCTGCTGTATGCCCAAGACATGCTAAGGTACTGCTGGGTCAGCTCCACAAAACTGGGCAACCACTTGGGTTTGAACCTCAGGAAGGAAGCGCAGATGAGCTCAAAGAGTGGGACCATCCCATTCTGACCCACGTCGTCCAGCTGTGGCCCTCCCAGAACCTTCTTCCACACCTCTGGGGTGGCCCTGGCTACCAAGAGGCCCTCCCCATTCTGCTGCAGCTGCAGGCAGCTCCTTGTGGCCTTCCAGGCAGCCTTGGGGAAAGAGGCAAAGACAGAGTTGAGGTAGGCCAAATTGTCCTTGTCCATGTCAGAGTGCAGAATGCGGCTGACCTCCTGCTCCACCAGTTCCTTGCAGTAGCTTTCCACCTCACTCTCTGGGGCACACACCACACAGGTCTTGAGGAGCTCCAGGCTCATGTAGCTCTGCAGCTCCAGGCTCATTGTGCTCAACAGCTTGGCATAAGTGTCTTGTAGGCCTTGAGCTGGCTTCTGTTTCTGGTGGAGGCTGTGCTGCAGGATAGCAGCCAGGGCCACAGGAGCCTGGAATGCACCACCTTTCTTCAACTTCTCCACTGTCAGCTTGGAGCTGCTGAGGCTTCTCCTCTGGTAGTATCTGCAGGCCTCCTCAAACACCATCTCCACCAGGCATGGTTCAGGTCTGCTGCTATCTTCAGGTTTGGAGAAACAAAAGCTATAGATGCCAGCTTGAGTGAGGAGCTGGATACCGTCCTCCTCTCCTGGGGACTCCAGGAAATGCACCTCTTTCATGCTCAGTACTTCTTTTTCTATGAGCCTTCCATTGTTCTGGTCGACAAGGTAGAGGACTCCAGCCAGCACACAGGCCAGGATGCTGCCAAAGGTCTTTAGCCGGACAGGACTCCCCTGGGCCAGGGAGCCCACCTCCAGGTCAAAGACATGCCTCTGTGTCCCATCTGGCTCCACCATGTTCACAGCACCCTTTGTGCTCACCAGCAGCAGACCCCCACTGTTAGACACAGCAGATGTGTGAATGTCCAGGGGTGTAAAACCTGAGAGAAGGCCCACAGAACCCAGTAGGAGTTTTCTGAAGTCTGACTCGCTGCTGGAGTGCAGCACCTTGCTGTGGATGAAGCCTGCAGAGGGGGCTGTGATGGTGAGCTTTGCTGTCTCAGGATGCCAGATGAGGAGGAATTTGGAAGTGGTGGCAAAGCAGGCAGCAGCAGGCACCAGGAAGATGTGCTGAGGGGAGGCCAGGACCTGGTACTCAGGGCTGTTGTGCAGGACCATCCTCACGGTGCCCAGCCTCACGCCTTGCTCCCCCACCTCCAGAGCACGGGCACAGACACAGAATCTGAAGGCACACTTACTCATGTCCGAGTGGGCACCCAGGGGCGGCCTCTCCTCACACCACACCAGGCTGGCTCCCTGGCTGCACACGGAGACAATTCGTGCCCGGGCACCTTGGCAGAGCTCCAGTGTCTGCAGCAGCTGCCAGCCCACGGCCACCACAAAGTGCCAGACCTCGGTCCGGCCGTGTTCCCACACCATGGCCAGTACCCAGGAGTCCAGTACCACAGGGTTCTGCAGGAAGAGCAGTCCCACAAGGGCTGGCTGGGGCGGCTGCCAGTTCCTCTCCAAGTCGGTTCCAGCGATGCTGTGGCGCTGGAAGGCCACCACCCGGGGCGTGGGAGGCGGCCCGCTCTTCTGCAGGACCAGGAGGTGCTGCCCGTCGGGGCTGGGCTGGACGTGGCAAGGCTCTTCTCCGCGGCACAGCAGCTCCCGCAGCCAGTGGCCTCGGTTGAAGTCGCTCAAGTCGGAGACCTGCCGCAGCGTCCCGGCGCGCTTCATCCTGGGGCGCCCGCCCTGTCACCGAGAGCGTGCACCAGGGCGAGCCGGGGCACGGAGCCCCTGCTGCCGCCCGATCCCCACACGGAGCCCACCCGCAGCTCCACACTCCAGGCTCCCTGCAGGCTCCCAGGGACCCCTCGGGCGCCTTCCCCCCGCGGCGAGCCGGTTCCGCGGGCACCAACCCCCCGGGGACCGGCCGCACCCCCAGCTCCCC